CGTCTGTCAGGCCTTCCCAGGGGATATTCTACTCCGGAAATAAGGCCAGATTTTAAAATGGGGAGGAAGGGAGGGAGGAAAAAAAAAGAGAAGCTAAGAAAGCCACCATCTCTGTGTTCTGTCAGCAGAGTGGGTTGGATTTTGGAGGCTGTAGCCCTGATCCTGCAGGTTTTAGGTTGGTACAGCTCATTGGGGAATAAACTCAGCCCCCAAACTGGGGCCTACCTTGCTGAGAGCCAGGTGGGCCCCAGGGGATCTTGGTGAGTGGGGGCTGGAGCACAGAGGGGCCAGGGACAGATGGTAGGCCTTGCTCGGTGGCTCATAGATTGGTGACCTGGGACATGGCTCCTCTACGCAGCTAATTTCCTGCCGTCAAACATGCTGGTGCCATCCCTCTTGAACTCTCTCTGAGAAAATGAGCTGAAGCCAGGGATTCAGTTCCAGGGGCCCAGGAAGGTACTAAAGGAGGAACAACAGAGAAACCTTGACAGGCTTCACGGGAGGAGCATCCTTTGAGGTTTCTAAAGCGTACCTTGAGTTCTGAAAGGCAGAGAAACGCATTTCAGGGCGAGGGGGCTGGCTTGTCCTGAGGCCCTGAGGTGTGGATGTTCCTGAGATGTTGAGTGTCACGTCAAAGAAGAGTCCTTCTTTAGCTCTCTGCTCATCCCCACTGTCCTTTTCTTGTTGATTCATAAGAACTCTTTGCATATGCGTACATGAATCCTTTTTTTTTTTATCACAAAAGATTTATCATTTGCCTTTTATTTTATTTATGATGGGTTTTTGGTAAGCCACACCATAAACATTTTTATTTTGGCAAAATTTCCAGTCTTTTCTTCAGCAGTCTTTCTGGATCCAGGTTGCCGCTTGTCTCTTTGATCTCGAGTCCCCTGCTCTTCGGTGCACGTGCAGAAAATATCTGAGAACTTGAATTAAGTGGACATTGGAAAGATGACAGCTGTGTGAAAAACAGAAGCTCTGAGATCTTTGCCCACCTGGGTCACAGATCCCTTTGGGGTTCCTTCCCATCATGACTATCTGCTCACTCCTTCCTGCCGGAAGTGGGGGTCCAACTGAGGCCCCGATCTCTGGAGTGAGGCAGGGTCTCAGATGACAACAGGGGTAGGCTGGGAGACGGGAAGTTTCCGCAGGGGAATCACAATATACTGACTCATTGCAACCTCGTGAGATAGTATTAACTTGATTTAGTCTGATTTTTTACGGGTGAGAAAATCGGGGTCCAGAGAGGTAATGGGATTTACCCAAGGCCACGCAGAAAGGAGCACAGATAGGACTTGGATCCAGGACCTTCTGTGGCAGAACTCTCTTACGGCTCTCGAGCCCCTTGGGATCAAGTTCAAGCTTGCTAATAGGATACCCAGTGCTTTGGGGGACCTTGGTTTCTTTCTGCTGTCAGTGTGACACCTTGGGCCCCGTGCCTGCACACAGTAGGCATTCAGGAGTGTTCCCCTTCCCTGTTAGGATGACAGTGATGTACCCCTGCCTGTTTCTGTGCACCCTCACTCCAGGACCCAATCCCTTAGGGTGCTGGGGTGTTGCGATGGCCCCCCCCCCCGATTTGCAGACTAGAGCAGGGAAGCTCAGAGGTGGAGAGAGCCTTCCCCAGACGCAGCGTGTGAGGAGCTGAGCCAGAATCTGCTCCCAGATCTGAGGGACTCTGAGGGCCCTTCCGAGACCCAGGGTGACCTGAGTGGCTCTTGGCTCCTCCCCTGGGCTGCGGTGGGGCTCAGTCTGGGCTCTCTCTGTTCCTGCTCACTGCTCCTGGGGTCACTGACCTTCCTCCAGGAAGCCTTCCTGACGTCTCCCCACTGGGCTAGACACCTCCCCTGGGCTCCCGAGGGCTCTGACGTGGCTCTGACCAGCTGCGCCGTGACCGCTAATTTCCTTGCTGTCTGCCCTGCTAGGCAGGGAGTCCCGCGAAGGCGGGTGCCTGCTGGTTCCTCTTCAAGTCCCCAGTGCCCAGAGCTGAACTTGGCATTGAGCAGGCCTTCGGGAAGGGTTAGACAGAGAGAGGCCAGAGAGGGGCAGAGACATGTCCCAGATCACCCAACAAGATGGAGCCCCACGAAACCCCCCAAAAGCCTTTAGGTGCCCCCCGCTCCTAGGATTCAACAAAAGCCCAGGAAAGATGACTGCAGTAATCATCCCAGAGAGGGCACAGAGGGACCTCTGTCCTCTGTTGCTCCCAGGGGCCTGGGGCCAAGGACACCCTATCTCCCCTGCCCCCACCCTCTGCAAAGGATGTTCTCAAGATAAAAATACAACCAGAAACATTCTCTGGTGTCTGGTGATGTGACTGTCATCCACTTTGATGGGGCCAGAACCTCTTGCCCTGGCCTCACCTCAGGGCTCATGGGGTGGGTGTCCATCTCTCCTGGCCCCTTGGTGCAAGGCTGTCCAAGAGGTCAGTGGATCCAGCCCCTGTCTCCGGACTATAGATTGCAAAGATCCCTTGCCTTTTCTGCAACCAGCACTTACTGAGCCCCGTCTGTGAGCTGGGTATGTTCTGGGCACTGAGGAGGTTGGCAGCCTGGTTCCTGCCCCCATGAAACCTTGGGACGGGGTCCTCTGGGGGAGGGTCAGGCACATGTCAGCTGTCTGTCAGGTTGGGCCCTCTGTTTCTTCTCTCAGCTGTCACATCCCAGCATTCCCCACTTCTTAGGAACCTGCACTTATTGTGTGTTTGCTGTGTGCCAGACACCAGGGACATGTCTTGGTGGATCCCTGATGAGAGCCTCCTGAGGTGAATGGGGTCTTCCCATTTTTTTTTTTGTTTTGGCTGGTGAGCTGGAGGCTCAGGGAGGTGCCCCGGTAATCTGGGGGTGTCATGCCTCTCCAGGGTGACTTGTTGATGATGATGGTGGCTGCCTCCTGAGCCCTGCTGATGTCAGGTCCTGTCCCTGGCCTTGGGCCTCCCGACACCACATTCAATTTCGTGGGCATATCCTCTGGGAAACCAGGCAGGCGGCGGCCTCATCCCCATTTTGGGAGGAGGAAGCTGAGCCTCAGGAAGGGGAAGTGCCTTGCCCTGTCCCCTGGGTGGTTTCAGCTTTGGTCTCCGCTGCCAGGTTTGGCACAGAGGGAGGTTCGGGATCAGTCCCGCCCTGCCCTCGCTTGCTGGAAACCGCAGGCCAGGCCAGCCTGTCTGGCCCTCTGTCCAGTGGAAGCACTGCCCCCCACCCCCAGGTCTAGCCTCCCTCATCCGGGGTGGTGATCATGACCCAGGAAAGAATTTGGTGAACTTGGGAAGGTTCGCTCACTGTGTGGGTTGTGTGGCCACTGCACACTTTGTGTGGACAAAGAAAATCCCGGACGAGGTGTCTAGAGACCGGGGTTTTTAGGACACTACTTTGCTGGCTCTGCTCTGAGCCTCAGGGCTCCTCTGTGGAACTCACAAGATGAGGAGGTTAGGGCTGGAGTTTTAAGTCTGGAGGAAGCTCCTTCCAGGAAACAGAGGGAGTCAGGAATGAGGTCTTGAGAGCTGGAACTCTGTGGAGGTGGGCTGTTGCCACAGGGCAATAGGGAGCCAAAGAAGGTTCGGGAGGAAGGGCAGGGGTGAGAGGTAGGTCCTCTTCATTTGCTGTTCGTTATTTGGCCTGTCCTAGGCTCTCAGTGACCAGGGGCAAGTGACTTGCCTCTCTGGGCCTTTTTTTCCTCATGTGTTCAGTGGGCAGAATGATCCTCCCGTGAGGGTTTGAATAACTGGTGTCAGTGGCCGAGCACACAGCCCAGGCCGGGTGCAATGTGGGCTTACTCCCTGGAAGGGCGTGGGATCTCAGCCCTGGCCCAAGTCCCCACCATGGGTTCCCAGCTGTGTGACGTTGGTCTGTGGTACAGCCTCCATGAGCCTCATCAGTTTTGAGGGTGAAAGGGCCGGGAGTAATGGGGGGTGGGGGTGTGGGGAATCAGGAAGCCGAGGGCTGTGGGAGGCTTCAGGGGGGTGAAATGACTCACTTGGAGTCACGCAGCGTGTGAGGGGCAGAACTGGGATTTGAACGCATGCCTGGGCACCTCTAAAACCTACCACCGTCACACCTGCCTAGAGGCTTATATGATATGGAGGTGAGTCACCAACCGTTCCCTTAATCCCTAGCCAGAAAAGCCAGTGTGGGACAGTGTGACAAACAAGACATGACTGTTCCCTTGGATGGGGCAGGGCATATGGACCCAGTGCCTGGGAGGAGGGGAAGATTGGAAGTAGCTCAAGGAAGCTGACCTCTTCAAAGTCACAGGGTCCCTTCCCACCATCTACCCTTGATCCTCACAGCATGCTGGAGGAGCGGGGGAAGGCAAGGGGCCCCTTTGACCAAGGGCCACGTTGATTCTAGGGGATTGCTGACACCACGTGGTAGGTGTGCATGCCCAACGGAAGTCCCTGGAAAGTGTCCGTCCGTTCGTATAGCTGTTCACGCTCTGATGTCACCTGAGCACCACCTCATCCATCCATTCCTCTGTCAATCCAGCCCCCCCCACCCCCCATTAATTCATCCATTCACATGCCCACCCTTCCAGCTGTCCACAGCTGGCCCCAGGATGGCATGGGGAAGGCTCAGCAGGTGATGGCCAGGAGCACAGGCTGGGGACCTTTGGAATACTAGGAGAATCGCCCCATTACCTGCCTCTCTAGAATGGGAACAGAGACAGTGCCAACCTTGTGGGGTCGTGAGGATTCCGTGTGTAAAATATCTATGCCCGTGTCTCGCCTGCAGGGGGCGCTGATATTGGCAGCTGTTACTTTTCTCTGAAGACCCATCTCGTTCTGCCCTTGTCTGGCTCTTCGTGCAGGGGGTTGTGGACAGTGCCTGAAGGCTGTGAAAGTGTGGGGGCATCAGAGGCCCAGGCTGGGGGGGCTCCTCCACCTCTCCTGGGGGTCTTGAGTGAAGTGAAGAGTAGTGTAGGTTTGTGTGAAAAGTTCTGACTCTCCCTTTGGGGAGAGCATTGGCCCGAGCAGTAACTTGGGTTTTCCTTGTTCACTTTAGGGTCTTCTAGTGACCGGCTCCTCTCCAGCTGGTGCCTGGGAAATGGCAGCTGCTGCTCATCCAGCCCTGAAGAGTGTCACTTGTCCGCTTAGCACCATTACTTAGAAGATAGAGTTCAAGAGGTAAGATGAGGGTTACTGAGGCAAACCTGTCCGGCTCATCATCCGTCCACCAAAGGCTGATTGGTGGTCCCCTCACCCACTTCTCTGTCTCTTCTTCTGCCCATCCACCCACCTCTCTGACCTCTCATTTACCCTTTATCCATCCAGTAGTTCGACTGATGCACCCACCTCGCTATCCGTCCACACATCCATCCATCATCTATTCATCCATTCACTGACCTGCCCATTTATCCGTCCACTCACTAATCCATCCATACACCCGCCCATCCTATCATTTTCTTACTCATTTTCCCCCACCCATTCCTCTGCTTGACTATCCATCCACCCACTTCTCCACCCACCTAACCCATACGTGTATCTGGTCACCCTATCCGTCCACCTACCCATCTGTCAGCCCGATTTATCCGTCCATCTGCTTGACCACCCACCTGTGCATATGTCTGTCTCTCATTCATGGCTCTGTCACCTCCTCATCCCTCCCTCTATTCTCTGCTTTATACCTTCAGTCTTTCCTCTGGGCAGGGACCATTTCTTGGGTGCCTCCTCTGTGCCGGGCAGGCCCTGGCGCCACCCCTCTGGGCCTCTGGGGTGGTGTCAGAGATGGGGTCTGGGCAAGATGAACCCTCACACAAGGTAGAAAGTAGCTTTGGGCCCTAACAGGGCTAGAGAACCCTAAAAAAGGCTTAATAGAGGAGGGGAGAGGAAGAGGCGGGGCAAGGGCAAGAGTCTGAGAAGCAGACTGGCCTCGGTATGGACAGCCAAGAGGGGAAGAGTCTTTGCCACCTGAGGCCCTGTGAGCAGGAACCCGGGAGAGGGAAGTTCCAGTGTAAGTCATGGGGAGGTGAATTCAGGAAGAGAAGGGACCACGAAAGGGTGTGTTGTTGTCATGGTTACCGCTTGGGAAGTTGGAATTCAGTCCGGCTGGGGACTCCAGGGGAGGCACCCTGGAACACACCCTCAGAGTGATCCATCCAAGGGGCAGGGAGCAGGGGGTCTTCAGCCATCTGATCCTGGCCCCCACTGGCTGTGCACAGGCCAGAGAAAGTGGCCGGAGAAAGCTTTTGAGCAAAAAGACACCGGTGTTGGCTGTTGGAATGGGTAGGTCGACCTTGAAGTGGTGACTCTGGTACTGACCCCCCGGTCCGCAGCACTGGCACACACTGTCCTATCATGGCTGATTCTCTCCTCAGGCCCTGCGTGGGCTTGGTGCAGAGAGCCTCCACTGCATAGATCCCAGATGTCTGCAGGCCATGGGCCAGCACCAAGGGCAGAGGCTGCTGGAGTACCTGTAGAGGAGTCTGTCTGGAAAGGTGATTGGGCACAAGAGAGATCCCTTTCTTTAGATTGGGAGGAAAAAAAAAATGGCAGGTCCCTCCCAATTCTCCATCCCCCTCCACACCCATGCACTGCTCTTACCCGCCAGCCCCCAGCCTCTTCTCTGGCCCCTGGCTCCTAGCTCTGGCCATGCCCCCACAGGGATGTGGAACCCTTGCTATTCCATTCTTTGAGCAAGACCTGGCACAAGAGAGAACTCTGCAGCCCCCAGCCTCTCAGGTCCTGTGGAACTGACCAAGGAACTCCTCTCAGAGCTTCTCATGCTAAGCCTGATGGATAGTGACTGGATTAGAAAGATTTTGCGGCAGCCCAGCACTTGGTGGACCAAAGTTCTGTGATTGATTGGTGATGACCGTGGGTGCTAGCTATCGGGAGAGGTATACAGCAAGCCATCACTGGCCTTCCCTGCATGGACTTGGGGGCTTCCTCATGAGGTTGTGAGTACTTTGTCCCTGGACTTTCAAAGAGAGGGCAAATGGCCACGGGTCCGTGCTGGTGAGGATGTGTAAAAATCTCCACTTTACGGTGTAGGTTCGGGCAGTTTGTCTGTCTTAATCGTCAAACAGATTTTGCAGGGGATTGGGTGACTTGAGACTGGACTGCAGCATTGCCATCATCAGGACTTACAACCTTGGGTGTTGGTCTCACCTGTGTTCCCCAGATTGGAAGTACCACTCCTTAAAGGCTGTGTGACCCTCAATGAGTGACTCGATCTCTCGGAACTTTAGTTTCATCCCGGGAAATTGGGGGGCTAATAGCCATAGTGTTATTAGAGGGATGAAATGAGTGAGGTTATTAGAACTTTTATTTTTTTAAAGTTTTTTTATTGGTACATTATAATTATACAGAATAGTGGGAGTCATTGTGACATGGTCATACACGCACATGACATAATTGAATTAATCTTAACTTTTAGAAGACTGTCTAGCAGATGAATGGTGAATATTTGATAAATTTTGACCATTTACTCCTAACTCTGAAGGGGTCCCTCCCCAACTAGGGTTCTCTGAAGGAGGAATTCTGCTGGTGTTCTCTTTCTGGGACCCCATGTCTTTGCGTGGGCCATGTGGGTCCTTCTACCATCCCCCTCCAGTCTGTGCTTCTCTGTCACCTGGGAATGTGGGCCCGGGCCTTGTCCTGGTTCCTCCCGGATGTTACCGAAACCTGAGGTGCCCAGAGCCTCAGGGACTGGGCATGGGGTGTCCTACTCCATCCGGAGACACCTCCCGGTGACTCTGAGGCCCCACCCTTGGGTCGGGTAGCAGCTGCTGTCTGGTGTCCTCTCTAAAAGCTCCAGCCTGGGTCCTGAGAGGCTGCATCTACAGGAGCCTAGCTGGCAGGAAGCAGGTTGCATGGCTGCGGGTCCTGGGGCAGCTTCACCACCTCTCGCATGGTCTGTGCCCCCTGTCCTCTGCCTGCTGAATTTGCTTCGAACGCCGCCTGTCTGGTTTGAATCGCCTTGTCTGGCTCAGGTAGCAACCCCAGCGCCTCTCCCCGTGGCCCCCATCATTGAGGCCTGGAACTCGTCTGCTGTGTCTGGAGCACCTCCTCCTGGCTCAAGCATTCCTCTGTAACCTCTTTTTTCTCCTTTGGCCTTTGTTTTCCTCCGTATGACACACGGAGCGAGCCTCGTTGCTTGCTGAGGTCTCTTCCAGAAAAAAAAAAAAAAAGAAACAAATTCTCTGGCTTTCTTTGCTTATTTGTTTTTACCATATGCACCCCATTCAACGAGAGTCAGACAGGCCTGCCTACCTCGGGCTGAGGGTTCTGTCCTACATTTCTTAAATTGAGTCCTTAAAGGCTGCAGAGTTTTGTAACCTTGCCGCCACGCCTGTGTTTGTGTGGGGAGTGTTCCATTGGGCATTTGGCAAGTGTGCGGTACCAGGTTCCTACTCCTGAGCCTCTTCTGGGTCTTTCTTGTGATTCTGTGTTCACTAAATACTCAGCCAGGGGACTCTCCACATCTCTAGGAGTCTGTCTCTGATACACAGGCGTGTGCAAGTGCACGCACGCACACACAGACACACAGACAGACGCACACACACACACACACACACACACACAGAGTAAAACAAGATCCCAAGAAGCTAAGGGCTGACACCCTGGGGGTTCCAACTCTTTCTCTACTTGGTTTTGGGGTGTTTCTTTTTGGACAAGAGACTTTGTTCCAAGTCAGTTTCTGGCTCTGAGAAATGGGGAAGCCGTTGTGAACTTGACCTTGCGGATTTTTCTCTGTGTGGTTTTTTTAGGAGGAACATCAACTGAAGTGGGAGTTCCCAGGCCTGTATGACACTGTCTAGGTGGGTCTCAGGTGCCCAGCCCTGGCAGAAATGCCAGGAGCCATTTGTAGCACCCTTGCCTGCCCGGTAGCTGGCCAGAGGCAAAGCCGCTGGCCACTGGGAGCAGGGGCCAGGCTGTGTCTGCCTGGCCTTTGATTCTCTGCGATTCTGTTTCCTGCAGGCCTCCATCTGCTCAGGGCACTAGCTGGAGCAGCCATGACTCGATGGACATCCCTCCAGGCCTCCAGGCCACTCAAACCTGCCCCCTGTGATCTGGCGGCCCCCCGCCGGCGTCTGAGTGCCCCGACCCTGGCCACCTCCCCCTGGAGGGTCCGGGAATCTGGGGCTGAATCATCTCTCCAGAACAGCCCCGGGGCTCCCCACCCCTGCCAACTCCCCTCCTCCTGGCCCAGGCAGAAGGAGCATCTACCAGTATGGCCTCAGGCCTCAGCTCCTCAGACCCAGGGTGAGGTGGTCAGCTGGAGCAGCTGTGGGGGAAGGACAGAGGAGGACAGGTGTTCTCCCGCAGAGCCTTGTTCCGTGGTGGAGCACTTTGCATTAGACGCGAGGGGTTTGAATCTCAGCTCTGCTGCTTGCTGGCTTGGTGGCTTGAGGGCAATCACTTAACCTCTCTGAACCTCCATTCAGGGAGTAGATGTGACAATGGTAGTTACCTCCGTAGGTTGTCAGAAGATGATCTGAGGGCATTAGCTGTGTCTGGTCTCAAGGTACCAAGCTGTTCAGCTCTTGCTGAGGTTTTTCAAGCCTCTATAGCTCTGAGCATCTTATACCCAACAGGCCACAGGGCTCAGCAGCACCGGTCCAGCACAGACCCTGAGGGTGCTTTCTGATGTACCTAGTAGTGTGGCCTTCCTCCTTACCTGAGGTTGGAGGCTGTACCTGGCTCCTGTGGTCTTGGTCGGGAGCTGCGTGGCACAGATGGGCTGAATCCTGGCATTACCACCTTGGGCCTGGTGTCCATAGTGGGTGCTCAGCCATCTGGGACCTTCTGGACACCTCAGTGCCTTTCTGGTTCTGTGGAGGCAGGTATTAGAGGCTCTGTCTGGCTCTGACCTTGTGGCATGACCAGGTGAGGATTGGGGTACACAGGGCCTCCATAGTAGGCCCAGCAGGTCCCAGCTCTCTCCTTTGTCCAGCTCAGCCTAGCAAGACAGACGACTGTACTCCAGATGACATCAGCGGCCATAGGACTAGGCAATGCTTTGACTCCTAGAATGACACCAATTGGCCTGTGTGGCACTGTGGGGCGAGGGGCAAGGGTGGCCCAGCCTGTGCATCCCGGGCCTGAGAGCAGGTTGTTCTGCTGTCCAGGTACCATGAGGTGCCGCAGGGCCTGCTCTGGGAGGGCCTCTATTGTATGCATGATGGCATGTGGCAGGTGGCTCAGAGCTAGGGTCCCCTTCCGAGTGGGCCAAGGGTGGTGAAAGGAGCAGGTGACACTTGTAAGCACTCCCACAGCGCAGGGTAAGGGCCCCGTGGTCCTCATTTCGGAAAGCAGGGCATGGAGAGGCTCCTGGGCTGAGGTCCGGGATAACCCTAAGTTATTCCTGTCTGGATGGCTACCCCTCAGTGCTGCCCATGAGGAGATCCCAGGTGTGGCCTGTGGGGGCCTGAGTGGGCGCCATAGGCAAGGTACACAGGTGTCCGAGGAGTGCTTAAGGTGTCTGAAGTGAGGGGTGCAGACAGTGGGACTGGCAGGTGCTGTGCTAGGCCCTGGGGTGGGTGAGAGAGCAGTAAACAAGGTAGAAAGGGGCCTTGCTGTCAGGGAGCAGGCGGTCTTTGGTGGGGACACTGGGTCAGCACAACCCCGTCTGCAACATTTTGCTATTATTGCCTTTGTTGTCCCATCAGAGGGTCCATTCTGTGGAGTGACAGCTGGGATGGGGGCATCCAGTCCTCCTGGGGTGTGCGGAGGCCTCTGGAGATGAGGGGGGCGTGTAGCAGGGGGACGTCTGGTGGGAGGGCACCCAGCCAGGCAGGTGAAGCGGGGGTTCGAGTGAGGTCGGCCAGGTCAAGGGATGCAGAGCATTCAACAGCATCCTCAGACTCCCCACGGCCACCACAGGGTTTGAGGGATTTGGGCAGCGACCAGGAGGCAGCCCCTGCACGGTCCAGGAGGGTGATGATGGGGACTGAGGCCGTGAAGGTGGGAGGAAGCTTTGGATCTTAAACATATTTTGAAAGCAGGTCTCTCAGTGTCGGGGTCAGAGGAGTTAAGATGAGTCCAAGAGTTTGGGGGGAGGTCAAGGGAGGCCAAGGGAGTGGGCTTAGGATAGGAGGGCAGAGGGGGCTCAGTTGGAGGGGAAGTGGGGAAGCCCTGGTGGGGACAGTGGAGGGGACAGGGCCAGCCACACACCCAACTGTCCTTTTCGTTGCAGGAGCTCTCCCACCTGGAGGCAGCCGGGGGGCGGGTCAGGGCCCCCCCAACCCCGGAATGACCGCGGCCAGCCGGGCCAACCCCTACAGCATCGTGTCGTCGGAGGAGGACGGTCTGCACCTGGTCACCATGTCGGGCGCCAATGGCTTCGGCAACGGCAAGGTCCACACGCGGCGCCGGTGCCGCAACCGCTTTGTCAAGAAGAACGGCCAGTGCAACATTGAGTTCGCCAACATGGACGAGAAGTCGCAGCGCTACCTGGCGGACATGTTCACCACCTGCGTGGACATCCGCTGGCGCTACATGCTCCTCATCTTCTCGCTGGCCTTCCTGGCTTCCTGGCTGCTCTTTGGCGTCATCTTCTGGGTCATCGCCGTGGCCCACGGCGACCTGGAGCCGGCCGAGGGCCGTGGGCGCACCCCGTGCGTGCTGCAGGTGCACGGCTTCATGGCGGCCTTCCTCTTCTCCATCGAGACGCAGACCACCATCGGCTATGGGCTGCGCTGTGTGACTGAGGAGTGCCCCGTGGCCGTCTTCATGGTGGTGGCCCAGTCCATCGTGGGCTGCATCATCGACTCCTTCATGATCGGCGCCATCATGGCCAAGATGGCACGTCCCAAGAAGCGGGCGCAGACGCTGCTGTTCAGCCACAATGCCGTGGTGGCTCTGCGCGACGGCAAGCTCTGCCTCATGTGGCGGGTGGGCAACCTGCGCAAGAGTCACATCGTGGAGGCCCACGTGCGGGCGCAGCTCATTAAGCCCAGGGTCACAGAGGAGGGTGAGTACATCCCGCTGGATCAGATTGACATCGATGTGGGCTTCGACAAGGGCCTGGACCGTATCTTCCTGGTGTCACCCATCACCATCCTGCACGAGATCGACGAGGCCAGCCCGCTGTTCGGCATCAGCCGGCAGGACTTGGAGACCGACGACTTTGAGATCGTGGTCATTCTGGAGGGCATGGTGGAGGCCACGGCCATGACCACGCAGGCCCGCAGCTCCTACCTGGCCAACGAGATCCTGTGGGGCCACCGCTTTGAGCCAGTGCTCTTTGAGGAGAAGAATCAGTATAAGATTGACTACTCCCACTTCCATAAGACCTACGAGGTGCCCTCCACACCCCGCTGTAGTGCCAAGGAGCTGGTGGAGAACAAGTTCCTCTTGCCCAGCGCCAACTCCTTCTGCTATGAGAATGAGCTGGCCTTCCTGAGCCGGGATGAGGAGGACGAGGCGGACGGAGACCAGGATGGCCGCAGTCGAGATGGCCTCAGCCCCCAGCCCCGGCATGACTTTGACAGGCTCCAGCCCGGCGGTGGTGGTGCCCTTGAACAGCGGCCGTACAGAAGGGAGTCAGAGATCTGAGCCACTTTGGGCCTAGGTGCAGCACCCACCCACCCCGCCAGGGAGAGGCCTGGCGTCCTTGGAGGGCTCTGGGTTTTGAGCAGAATGGGCCAGGTGCCCCGGGTTGCAGACTCAGTAGTGTTTTAGTTGTTTTATGTTTCTTCGCAATAGTCTTGGAAGGTTGGCGGGAGAGTGGGCGGCCAGATTGGGCAGCCCCCAGCCTCAGAGGCTGACCAGGCACAGACAGGGCAGGGAGGTGGTCTCCTGCGGTGGGGGGTGGGGAGGGCCCGGCCATAAGAGCCAGGTCCTCTGCCTGAAGATGGAGCTGGGTAGCCTGCCTAGAAGTGGCTCAGCAGTGGGCCCCGCCTCTGTGGTCAAAGGCCGGCAGGCTGCAGTGCACCTTGCTGGTTTTTAACTTGGGGAGAAACACCGGATTTTGGCTTTCTCGATCTTAGCTTGAGTAAGACTGTTTACAAAACAAAAACAAAAAGAAAAACCATCAACATGCAATTGAAACAAAATTCTTTTTTTTTTTTTTTTAAATTTGTGGGGAGGGGAAGAGGACAATTGGAATCCCATTGGCCTGCCAGGATGCAGGTGGTTGGATGGAAGCTCTAGAAGGTTCCCCAAGGTTGGACTGGCCTCTCCCTGTGTTTGGTGGTGGTGGTGGGGGGAGGCCCAAGCAAGCACAGTACTCCAGGCTCAGTCTATAGTGCTTAGGGGTGAATTCAGGTCATGTTTGTGATAGAAGAACCATGTTAATCATCACAATAAAAGCTTTCAAATGTCACTGGTGTGGGGTGGGGGGGGGGAGGCTGGCAGGAAGCCGGTTTGATCTTTCTGAGCTTGACTTTGTACCTCGGAGGTGCGTTTCAGGGCTGGGTACAGGATGGGCCCTTGAGGGTTCACAGCCCCCACCTATTCATTTCTGCTGGCGGTGGGGGGGGAGCGTCCACCCCTGGCACAGGGGAGGGGCAATTGGGAAACGCCAGAGTGGACGGGCTTCTTGTTGGGAAGCCAGATTCCCCACCCTGAGAAGGAAGCAGATCTGTCCCCATCCCCCCCCCCCCCCCCCCCCCCCGGGGCCCACAGTGTGAGTCGTGCCTTAGAGACTTCGGGTTGTCCCACTCGAGTTGTTTCTGTTTTTATTGGACTTGCCTGTCCTCCTCTGCGGTCCCTGTCTCCCCTTCTGAAGTCCCCCACCAGCCCCTCTTGTCCGCCCTGGGAAGGTGGTGGCAGAGGCTGTGCCCACCAGGCCCATGGCTACAATCCTGCCTGCCCTTTCCTCCCCGCGACCTGGGGCTGGACAGGGGAACCCAGGAAGGGTCCCCCCACCCCACCACCAGGCTGTGGTAGGCTGCTTCATGCGAGTTTAGGAAAGGATAGGAGTGGTCATCCTCCTCTTATCCGCTGAGATGGCTAAAGCCAGGTTGAGACATTGGCCGTGAAACAAAGAAATCCTTCTCTGGCTTCAGAGCCTCCACCCTCTTCATCCTCCCCGAGGACAGAGCAATGAAGGGGGTCTAACTGGCTTGGTGCCTGGGGTCGGGGGGTGCTCAGGGACACCCCAGCTCCCGTGCCCTGACATAGGCCTGCCACCATGCGTCCTTATCCTTCATCAGGAAGAGGCTTGAGGCCCCTGGTCACTGGCATTGGTGCTGCCAGCCCTGTCTGGTTCCTACCGCTGGCAGGAAGAAGCGCCCTCCTTCTTGAGCTTCCCCAGGACGGCGGAGGAAGGCCATCCTCCCCGGGCCTCGTCCCTCAGGGAGGCGATCATTAGAAAGCGGGTGTCTCCCCTGCCCTGACTGCCCAGATTGCTCCAACCCCCTGTGCCCCACAAGACCAGCTGGGAGCCAGAAAGCACCGGGAACTCTCTGGCCCAAGTGGGGAAACTGAGGCAGAGAGTGGCAAGGGTGGTGTGCAGTGGGTGGGGGGGTAGGAGGCCGGGGGAAGGCCAAGGCCCTGTGGTAGGGGCTCCTGCCTCTTCTCTCCACTTTCGAGCCACCGAGGGTTGGAACACTGGCTACCACTTCTCTGCAAGGTGCCTGGGGCAGGAGGCAGAGACACCCAGCGCCTCACCCCTCCACCACCTGGAGGTAAGCCTGACTCCAGGCACTCCCCCCGAGCCTCTGACCTTACCCTAACTTCTGGCCTGGAAGCTTCAGCCCCAGACTGTTTTTTTAATATATTTTTTTCCCTCTCAGGATCTGCTGGAGCAACCTCAGCTCTTTCTGGACTCCTGGGCTTGGCCCCTGTCTCCAAAGCCTGGCTTTTCTAAGCCTTGGCTTTGGGGGGGTCTTGAGGGTGGAGTTGGCATGAGAGTGCTTGGTTCTCACCACTCCTGCTCAGATTGCCAGGCTGAGAGATGAGAGGGACAAGGGTGGCCCCTGGGCACTGGGTGCCTGCCTAGAGTCTGTGCCCTGCTTTGTCCTTCTGGGCCAGGAACGGGGGCTCCTACTCCCCGCCTCCAGACCGGAACCCAAGGTCTCTGCGTCCCCCCAGGGTCTGTTCTCCAGCCATCCCTGAGGTGTGGTCATCTGCCTCTTAGGCCCGTCCTCCCAGGTCCACCACACTGGGCCTGAATGGTCAGCCTCCAGCCCCTGCAGGAGAGCAGCCCAGTGCTGTCTTTCATCTCTCACCAAAGGCAAGGCAGATCCATGTTTTTCAAATGCTTCTGCCCTCTTCCCGGTCCCTGTATTTATTTATTTATTTATTTATTTATTGCTTGTGCTAAAGACCAAAATAGTCCCCTCTTTAGTGCACTGGATGCGGGAGGCAGGATGTGGGGAGCCTTGTACGTGTGTGGGGTCCGGGAGACTGGCCTCCCGGGGAGTGTGTGGGGAAAGGAGGTGTGTGTGTGTGTGTGTGTGTGTGTGTGCAGTGCACATGTGGGCGTGTGTGCGCATGTGCATGACTGTCTCCACATGTGTCTCTGGAGTGACAACATGGATCTGTTAGTGTGTGCGTGTGTCTACCCACCGGTTGGTGTGCATGCTGGTATCATGTTGAGGCTGGGAGCCCACTGGTCAGATTGGACCCTGACCTCAGATTGTTGGTACAATCCAACCTGATGGTTCCCGATTCTCTGATACAGTCTGTGGACGGGCGTGTGTGCCACCGTGGGGCATTGCAGGAGAGCATCTGTGTCTGGATTATGTGTTGGAGGCTGTGGGTGTGTGTGTCCATGCGAACACATGTCCATGCATGTGTGTGTGAGTGTGTGGGTCCTGGAGGCGTGTGAGTGTGTGCGGGTCCTGGAGGTGTGTGTTTGTGTCAGTGGGGTGGTGAATCCTTGTGCAGCCTGTGTGGTTGCTGCTCAGAACACAGGCAGCCACCCCCCGAAACCCTGCTGGTGCTGTGCCGCCCCGGTCCCCGCCCAACCAAGGGTTCTGGGGCGGCGGGCGGGAAGGAGCCACCGTCAGGAGGCCCCTGTACGGGGTGTCTGCCCTGCGTGAGGTCAATAGAATGTCAAATCTATTTTAAATGGTGAAACCGGAGAATTTTCATGTTATTTTCAATACATAGCGGTATCTAAAGATGTAGGCAACGAGACTAGATCACATTAAATGCATTTTGATCTCTTTGAGTGCCACTGTGTCGAGATGTGTGTCTGACTGTCCCCTGCCTGGCTGCACTGAGTGCTGGGCGTTTGCTGCCTCCTCAATGCCCGAGGAGGGGCCACAGGGGCTCCCAGAGCCTATTTTCAGGGCTGGATTTGGGACATAGCAGCACCAGGGTGAAGGGACAGAACGCGGCCTCCCTGAACTCTCTCCCACGGACATCACACCTCCCTGCCCATCTTCCTTCCTTCTGCAGACATGTGCTGTGCCCAGCAGACCCTCCCAGGGCTCCCTCAGAAGGGGGCAGCTGCCCCTGATATGGGCAACACTGTTCCCATGGAAAGAAAGGAGAGGAGGGTCTTGGGGTCTCAAGTGGGACTGGGGGTGCCATGGTACACCTGCTCAGATGATGCAAAGAGGAGGGCGTGGGGCTGGGGGTGGAGGACTGACCCTTGCAGACAAGTGTTGCCAGCAGGGGACATGCATGGCACATTTTCGGGAAACCAGACTCCTGTGTGCCAAGGGGCTGGAACTCTAGAATCTCCATATTCTATAGGAGAATCCTTTCCTTTGTCCAATCTATTTCCACCTGTCAGTTCTCTACTCCTCTGCCTCAGTGAGGGACCTCAGGGGATCCTCATTCTGTAAGATTTAGATATTGATCCCAGGTGACCCAATAAAAGGCCCCTGGTCATTCCTAGGTCATGAGGACATGTTCTAGGGTCCACGGGGTGGGGTTTTTGTGGGGCTGGGGCAGTTCTGGTCATAGAGGCTTCTTGGAGGAACTTCCCTCGGATGAGACCTTAGAGCTTGTGGCTTGGTCTGGTGAGGGATCCCTTCCCTTGGCTCTGAAGCTCCTCTGGGACCCCAAATTGCACAATCTAAGCCGATCGGAGTCAGAGCATTGTGGCCTTGTTCTGTCCTCTCATCCCAAAGATATTCCCACAGTACTGACCATTAGGCACGGGTCCCCAGGAGCATAAAAATATGGCCCCTGTTAGTACCACATATTATTTAAATTTGTGCCATCTGAACTCACAGCCTCTTGTCCCCTGTCTCCTGGCTATGCTGAAACCCCAGGGGACCCCTGGGTCAGATTCCAAGCCACTGGCTTGCTGGGATACCCAGAGGGATTCCTTTCCCCTTAGCCCTGTCAATGTCCCTATCAATAAAAAGCCTATTTGTAACAATTGCTCACAGATTTGGTGACAGTGGGTAGGGCCAGCTCAAGGTCACAGCCAGGAAGATAGTGCCCAGGCCTATCCCAGCCCTGCATGGGGCCGGAGCCAGCCCTCTTCCCTCGCTGTCCTGCCTCCCTAGAGATGAAATGAACCTACCTCACACCTTGCTTTCCGACAGGCAGAACCGGGATGCGGTTGGGGGGTGAGGGGATGAGGTTAATTGAGCACCTGCTGGCTCGAGCCCTGAATCCTAAAAGCACTTCTGTTGATCCTGGACTTACTCCTGCCAGGCAGGTCCCGGAGATACTGTTACTGCGTTTTGGAGGCAATTGGTTGTGGGGCATTAGAACCTGGCCCAAGGTTACCAAGAGGGTCGTTGTCTGTGCTGGGCTCTGAGCCAGACCTCAAGCCCCACCTGTCCTGTGGCTCTCTTGTTGGGTCAAGTGACCCAGCTGTCCCAGTGGCATATTTACTCATATAAATATGGTAGGCAGAGGGGCCTCTGCCTACCAGGGACAGGGCTAGAGCTAGAGTCTAAGCCAGCAGAGGGAGGGGCCAGGTCCCGACTCTGGACTGGACCCACCCTGTTTGTCTGCAGCGGAGGCCCCTACAACTTAGTTGGGGGCGGGGGAAGCACCCATGGGTGTCGCCTTGCCACCAAGGGACCAGATCTGCCTATTTGCTTCCTGGCCATGTGGGGACCTCCAAGGACACTCCCCCCCATCTTCCTCTAGTCCACCGCCACTCCAGCACCAGAGAAGTCTCAAAATCCAAATTAAGCCTTGTAACACCCCTGCCTGAAACCTTCTCTCGCTTCCTGTCACACTGAAAATAAGATCCCAACCCTGCCTTGGCCCTGGGGTCTCCGGGCTAAATGGGGGACATTATGTGCTCCTGGTGTACTTGGGGGATGGAGTGCAGTGCCTGTGGGTTTCCACCTCCCAACAGGGTTCCAGGGTCCTGCAATCCTCATCAACCTGGAGATCCCCTTTCCCTGACCCAGTCTGGACAGCATCTGGTCATCAGCCACACGAAGGAGATACCAGCCC